TCATGACCTGAGCCGAAGGCAGACGCTTAACGACTGAGCCACCCAGGCGCCCCGCGTCTTTTTCTGTTTTTAATTAATCAATTTGGTCTAATTTAGAATTCGCTTTCATTGTTAAGGGATAATACCCTTTAGAACTTAATTTATTATCTTTGTAGGTTTTGGAGTCAGCACAAGTGATTTCAAAAGCTATAGCAGAAATTACTCCTTCTAAAGCCAGTGGGATCTTAGGGATTCGTGTATGTAAACACTGAGCGCTTACATGTAAGGGCAAGCTGTGGGCGGCCTCAGAGTCCCGTCTCGAACGTAGGCCTTGTGTTCTAGATCTCATGGCACTCTTTTCTCCCGAAGGCCGACTACTTTAGCTCTGTGGCGACCGTCGTGTATCTTCGCAAGGAGAACTGTATGTATCAGGCCTGCCCAACTCAGGACTGCAATAAGAAAGTGATTGACCAACAGAATGGATTATACCGCTGTGAAAAGTGTGACAGTGAATTTCCCAGCTTCAAGTACCGCATGATCCTGTCAGTAAGTAGAATGGGTAGATGGGAAGTACTGTGCTGTCTCCTGAGTCCCTGCCAAGAGCCAGGCCCTGTAGAGACAACAGCAAAAATAAGATGGCTGGGGGTAGGAAGCCTGCAGATGAGTAAGTGCTAAAGAGCTTCTTACTGTCCGTTCTCCTACTAAGAGCTTTTTTTCATACCAGAAAGTTGCATTTAGATACGCAGCTGATGGCGGTTGCTGTGCGTGTAGTACAATGCAGAATCGCTGATGCTCTTCTGCTAACTGGTATGAAGACAAATTAATGTGCAATGGCATTTCTGGAGAGCAGTAATTATACAGCCAGTGCCTATATTTAGTTATTTTTCTTGTAGATAATCTGTTCCTCTTAGCCTTTGTAGAGCTGACTTCTCAGGAATGTGACTGCATGCTGATGCGGGACTGTGGCTTTTTTGCATTGTAAGAATTGTTTCTGCTTTAAAAACCTTTAAAGTGGAGGGTGTCCTTTAAAAAAAAAAACCATAATACTAAATGATAATAGGTATTCTTGCATTTTTCTAGAAGGTGATTTGGCAGTAATATATCAGGAGACTTAAAAATGTTTATATTTTCTGGCACATTAAACACTTGGAGGGAATTTCTTCTAAGAAATCATCAGAGATGTTTACAGCTCTGTAAAGTTATTTCTTACTCTGTTATTTTGAAAACTTTGATACAACTTAAAATTCCTTAATATTTTATTGGTTAATTCCTTTATTATATATCTGTAATGTGGAATACTGTGAAGGCATCAGAATCTGCCAATCATTTGACAGTTTTCTACAGTTAAAATATTTGAAAATGACATGAATATATGTTCAGGTTTATTAATTGAAACGGCAAATTTTAAATGGAGTGTTTGATATAGTCTTGAAGTATGTACACACACACAAAACAGACCTAGAGGACAAATACCAGAGTGTTGATTGAGGTTATTTCTGGTTGATTTCTAGTTTCTTCTGCATTTTCCTTTTTTTTCCCACTTGTAATAGCAAATTTAAAGTAAATGAATTAATTAAAAATATTTTTAGATAAAAAATAAAGGATTTTACTTATCATTTCTATATTCTAATTGCCCCTTAAAATGTTAGCTCACAAAAACTAATGATGTAATGTATGATGATTAACATAACATAAAAAAAATTTGGAAAAAAAATGTTAGTTCAGCAGGAAAGTTCTACATTTCTACATTTAAGCTTCCTATTTTTACAGAAAATAAACATAAACTTAACTTCATCGAACTAGGATGGAGAAAATTGTTTATTTTTTTTAATTAAAAAAATTTTTTTTAATTTAAATTTTATTTATTTATTTGACACAGAGAGAGAGAGACAGCTAGAGAGGGAACACAAGCAGGGGGAGCAGGAAAGGGAGAAGCAGGTTCCTGGCTGAGCAGGGAGCCCGATGTGGGGCTCCATCCCAGGATCCTGGGATCATGACCTGAGCTGAAGGCAGACGCTTAACGACTGAGCCACCCAGGCGCCCTGAAAAAATTGTTTTAGATGGTTTATCAGCCTTTCTGTGAAACTCGTAAATAGGAATCCCAGCACACTGGTTTCACGAGATGATGTCTCCATTGTCACCCTCCTCAGCTCTTTGCCTCTAGGAATAGCATGAGGTAAACATACTGTAGGTGTGAACCCTAGTGTGTGATATATTCTCTCATATATGTGAGTGTTTTTAACTTTTCTTGTCCCCTATTTTTTCATCATAACTTTTGATATTAAACCTCCATGTATATGCCAAGCAAATATGTAGAATCATCAAATGCTACCTTAAAAAAAAAAAAAAAACCTTTGCTTTCTTATATGTACTAAGACTTTTACTTTAGCAGGTGGATTCTGTGTGATCGACTTTCTTCCCTGACTCTCCCCTGTTTAATTTTACATTGTCCAAGTGGAGACACTTGATTGCTCATTTCTGTTGCTAGTTAAGTTTGGCAGCTGGATGAAGGCCCTTAAGCTCAAGCTTTTAAATAGTCTGGGATGTTCAGCAGTGAATGGAACTAGTCTTATGGAACTAGTGACTTAAGGATGTAGAGTTTGAAATGCAGAGAACCTGCTGTCACTCTTTGGAGGCTCATTCAAAACCTTGAGTCCAAAGGGCATTGCAGCTGGAGGGGAACCTAGTCTGGTGTACCTGGATTCTGTGTCTGAAGGAGAGGTGAGTTGGGTTGTTATCTCCACTGAGATCTGAAATCACATGTCCATGGCATATTGTGTTCCTCCTGTGATCCAGACTTACATTTTAAACTTCTTTCTGCAGTATTTTCCTCTTTTGAAAGAATATAGCATACATAGTGGTAATGGTTTTTTCCTTGGGAATTATTTTAATGAATGGAAAAAGTTAATCTTCCGGTCTCTGAGTATGTCTTCCTTTTATTATTTCTTGGCTGAATTAATATATAGTGTGTTTTTCAGGTAAATATTGCTGATTTTCAAGAGAATCAGTGGGTCACTTGTTTCCAAGAGTCTGCAGAGACCATCATTGGACAAAACACTGCTTATCTTGGGGAGTTAAAAGAGAAGGTTGGCCTCATCTTTTATTATTACTGTAACAGTTGCCAATAACACCCTTTTTTTTGCTCTTTAATTTTTTTCAACTTCTTTGGGTTGTTGTATATAGTTTCTCAGTCTGATGATGATTTAAGAGCTCATCTGATTCTGTCAAATTTTGTCCACCTTGGGTGTACTAACAATGAGTAATCAAGTAATGTATAAAAAAGTGCTTTATGGGCGCCTGGCTGGCTCTTTCGGTAGAGCGTGCAGCTCTTGATCTCAGGGTTGTGAGTTTAAGCTCCACATTGGGTGTGGAGCCTCCTTAAAAAAAAAAAAAAAATGCTTTAAAAACAGCACTTTACAAGTATAAAACATTCACTTCTGTTACCGTTAGCACACTAAAGTTGATGTGCCTACAATCACTTGAGATCTGGAAGGTATCTTCTGAAGTAACCTGAGGTACAGATGTGCCCTTTTAACATAATAAACACCTTCCTGAAAAGTTGAGTCAAATCCTGGTTTAAATTCACATATAAGGTACTTGCTACTCCAGGTCTTCAGATGCAGTTCTTACAAAGTAACTTTCTTTCCTAAGGTAACTTTATCCATTTCATTTTTATAAATTTGTATTTTAGTATATTAGGTTTATTTAATGTAGGGAATAGATTACTGATTTTGCTAAATGTAGGAAAGATACTCAGATAAAATGTGTAAAGATGGGGGCACCTGGGTGGCTCAGTTGGTTAAGCGTCTGCCTTTGGCTCAGGTCATGATCCCAGGGTCCTGGGATGGAGTCCTGCATTGGGCTCCCTGCTCAGTGGGGAGTCTGCTTCTCCCTCTGCCTTTGTCCCTCTCCCCCACTCATGCTCTCTCTCTCAAATAAATAAAATCGTTTAAAAAAAATGTGTAAAGATGACCAATGAAAGCTGTGTTTTCTGGGCCACACAAATTAGCATCTCTCTATAGATTTTTCCACTTTTCCTCCAAATTGCTTAGAAAATTTCTAAATAAACCACTAAGGAAACACGTGTGCGCGCACACACACACACACACACACACACACACACCCTCCCCCAAGAAAAAAAAGATTTGTCATTGGTTTGGTGTGTTTGTCTTATTCTTCCCTGTCTTCAGTTTGTCCATTTGGCTCCCCCCCTCCCCCAGCACACACCTTTTTAAAATTGTTTGTGAGATCTCTGAAAATAATGCCAACAAGCCCCTTTTATAAAAGAACTGGAATTGACTTTAAAGTATGATGGTATCTTTCATCTGTTTTGCCTGGTTCTTTATTTTCATATCAGATTTTAAGGCTCGAGGCAGCTTTTCAGGGTTTTTTGTTTTTTGTTTTTTTGAAGATTTTATTTATTTATTTACTTATTTATTTATTTATTTATTAGCGCGCACGAGAGAGAAATAGCATGAGAGGGGAGAGGGTCAGAGGGAGAAGCAGACTCCCCGCCGAGCTGGGAGCCCGATGTGGGACTCGATCCCAGGACTCCGGGATCATGACCTGAGCCGAAGGCAGTCGCTTAACCAACTGAGCCACCCAGGCGCCCTTTTTCAGGGTTTTTTATGAGCTTATTACATTTCACTGTTTTTACCGCTGGTGAATGAGGATATATAGAAACTCTTCCCTCAGGAACCATGATATTCTTGGAGTACATGCTCCATGGTTTCTCTTATCTTGAAGAATAATGGCAACTAGTATAATTTTCTTAAGGTTTAACACATTGTTTTATTTACATACCTGAAAGCCCAGAGGACTTTGTGTGTATATGTGAAGTAACTTTTATACAAGAGTTCTGTGTAACAAAACCATTTTCATGTTCCATGTGGTTTGAAAAGATAATATTGACTGACACGAACTATTAATTTTATATAAAGTTACTGGAAATTTTATGCATATTTATATAAAATGTTTTCTCTGATTCCTTTCTGCTTACCAGACTTTTTTTTTTTTAATAAAAAAGCTTAATTAGTGGGGCGCCTGGCTGCCTCAGTCTATGGAACATGTGACTTTTGATATCAGGGTCATGTATTTGAGCCCCACACTGGGTGTAGAGATTACTTTAAAAAAAAAAAAAACTAAAAGAAAAGCTTAAATAGGGATGCCTGGGTGGCTCAGTCATTAAGCGTCTGCCTTCGGCTCAGATCATGATCCCGAGGTCCTGGGATCAAGCCCTGCGTCTGGCTCTATGCTCCGCGGGGAGCCTGCTTCTCCCTCTCCCTCTGCTTCTCCCTCTCCCTCTGCTTCTCCCTCTCCTTTTGCTCTCTTTCTGTCTGTGTCAAATAAAGTCTTTAAAAAAAAAAAAAAAGCTTAAATAGTGTTTGAGGGACAAGACAAAGAGGGAGAGAACTGTGCTTTTCAAACTTTCCCTAATCTTTACCCACTTCACCTGCCTTCTTCACTTGCTCACAAATAACTGTAAATGCAGAGACTAAAACAGTATGAAAACTTGAACTTTTTTCTGACTATTTCTTCCCTCAATTCTTTTTATTTTTTAAGACTTTATTTTTTTAAGTTTTTTTTTTTTTAAGATTTTATTTGTCAGAGCGCGCAAAAGCAGAGGGGGAGTGGCAGGCAGAGGGAGAAGCAGGCTCCCCACTGAACAGGGGTCCTGACATGGGGCTCGATCCCAGGACCCCAAGATCATGACCTGAGCCAAAGACAGACATTTAACCAACTGAGCCACCCAGGCGGTCCCTTTAAGATTTTATTTTTAAGTAAATCTCTACATCCAACATGGGGCTCAAATTCATAACCCTGAGATTCCATCACAAACTTTTGAAGTTTAGAAATGTGTTTCTAAGAGTGGTTTAATTTTATTATTATTATTATTATGGTGAAATATGCATAACATAAAATTTACCATTTTAACCATTGTTACGTTCAGTACACTCATTAGGTACTAATTCTCCATTTCCCCTTCCTCTGGCCCTGGCAACCATTCTACTTTCTGTCTCTGTGAATTTGACTACTATAGGTAGAGTATTTTAGTTTATTAATAAAATTCTACCTAAACAGTTTTTTTTTTAAGATTTTATTTATTTATTTGACAGAGAGAGACATAGCGAGAGAGGGAACACAAGCGGGGGAGTGGGAGAGGGAAGCAGAGCTCCTGTGGAGCAGGGAGCCCGATGGAGGGCTCAATCCCAGGACCCTGGGATCATGACCTGAGCCGAAGGCAGACGCTTAACGACTGAGCCACCCAGGCGCCCTTCTACCTAAACAGTTTTATGTAATGAAATGTCACCTATAGATTAGTCATTCCTAAGTAATTTAAACCACTGGGGGTAAAAAAATTTTGAGATTTTTCGCAAAAGTCTTTTTAAAAATGTTTTTTTCTTGGGGTGCCTGGGTGGTTCAGTGGGTTGAATGTCTGTCTTCGGCTCGGGTTATGATCCCCGGGCCCTGGGATAGAGCCCCACCTTGGGCTCCCTGCTCAGGGGGGAGTCTGTCTCTCCCTCTCCCTCTGCCGCTCCCTCTGCTTGTGCTCTCTCTCAAATAAATAAATAAAATCTTAAAAAATAAAAAATTCAGAAAAAATAAAGATTTTATTTTTAAGTAATCCCTACACCCAATGTGGGGCTTGAACCTACAACCCCAAAATACAGAGTCATATGCTCTTCTGACTGAGCCAGCCAGGTGCCCCTTCAAAAAAAATTTTTTTTTTTTTTAAGATTTTATTTATTTATTTGGCAGAGCACAAGCAGGGGGAGCGGCAGGCAGAGGCAGAGGCAGAAGCAGAAGCAGGTTCCCCGTGGAGCAGGGAGCCCGATGCGGGGCTCCATCCCAGGACCCTAGGATCATGACCTGAGCCAAAGGCAGATGCTTAACCAGCTGAGCCACCCAGGCGCCCCGCCCCTTCAAAAATCTTAATGGGTATTTTCAAATGGTCTGGTAGCTTCCATGCCTAAAGTTTTAACGTTTGTTTTTGCAGAATGAGCAAGCATTTGAGGAAGTTTTCCAGAATGCCAACTTCCGATCTTTCACATTCAGGATCAGGGTGAAACTAGAGACCTACAATGTAAGTGGGGTCACCTGGGATGGGAAGCTACTGTTTGTCACCCACAGCAAGAGTCTGGTGGCAGCTGTCACTTGATTGTGTACTGTGTGCCAGACCCAGGGCTAAGCTCCCTGGATCTTCCCAGCGCTGAGGAAACAAAGTTAGAGAGGTTGAGTGTTCTATCTAGTGTTGAACATCTAGAGGGAAATGCTGCGTGTTCTCTTCAGTTACAACCTAGGGGTTTTTTTGTTGGTGTACTGACAAAGAATGGTAAGGTGTTTAGCGGACTCACTTCCATGAGGTTTAGGCCCTGAGGTTGGTATGTGAAACAAAGACCACACATAGTTAAAATTACCTTGAAAATTCCTTTAAGTTGCCTATAACATCATATAATTGGATAGTCCTACTATAACAGCATTTATTGAGCACTTACTATCTGCCAGTTACTCTTCTACACCCTTTATTTTACATCTAGTATCTCACTTGATCCTGGCAGTAACCCACATGTAGGAACTACTGTTATCCCCATTTTAGCACTGAAAAATGGAGGCATGCAGAGAATAAGTAATATACATAAGTCATATGCCAGCACACGGCAGAACTAAGATTCCGATCCCAGCTTCAGAGCTTGCTCTTCACCATCCTTATAAATAGGATTACCTCGTCATTACGGAGCGCATGCACACAGAAGTGCTTGAGCCCTGGAACCAGACCGCACCCTTTCTGGGCATCCCGTCATCCTGCCTCTAAAGGGATTGTTGAATCCTGATGAACGAGCGAGGACGGGGAGTTCTCTCTGCTTGTTTCAGGGTTTCCTCACTCTGTTTTATTATTACACCTTAACCCTAGTACCTGCTAGTAGGCAGTGAATGAGGTAGGGAGTCAAATGTCTATGACGGAGTGTCAGAGTGAGGTGGGACCCGGGGACGGTTTGAGGGGTCGTGCAGTGCTCTCATGGTGCGGACAGGGACGGTGAGGTGCAGAGAGCTTGTCTCTTGCAGAGCTGAGATGGCCCCAGACCAGGGATTCCTCCTCTGCTGTGGGCGCTTTTGCTTTCACACCACTCTCAGAACTAGCTGTGTGGCTTCAGGCAAGTCACTTCTCTTCTCTGGGCTCCTGTGTCCCCTTCTGCAGAGAAAATAAATTGACCTAGATCAGCCCGCTACGGTCCATCCCATTTGGAATCTAGGTTTCTGAGAGCTTGGGGGCACGAGGGAAGGATGAAGAGGGGCTCCTGTCCACTCTCCCAGCTCCAGAAGTTCCGAACGTGGCTCTAACTGGTGATTGTTTTCTGTATTGGAGTGACTGAACACTAAGTCCAGCATGCCCTTGTGTTTTCTCCCGCTGGGATCATTGAAACCTCTGAAGCAGAGGGGGTTATCACCACCGCTCTGTGCCGCGGGCTTTCCTCCACTCACAGACTGCTTTTCTCTCCTCAAAGGATGAGTCTCGAATTAAGGCCACCGTGATGGACGTGAAGCCCGTGGACTACAGAGAATATGGCAGAAGGCTGATCATGAACATCAGGAGAAACGCGCTAATGTGAGAAGAGCAGGGCTGATGAGGCAGAAGTTTGAAGAGGCAGAGCTGAAATGGAACCGATTCCTTCCCCCCACCCCGTGTGACATTTCCACGTGAGCTGTGCAGCCAGAGAGCCGCTCTGCGGCGGCCGAAGCGCTTTCCTCCCTTGGGCGCCTCTCGGAGCCCATCGTACCCTATTTGGTGAAGCAAAACGGGCTCCGACGGCTCTGGTGTGAACTGTCCGTCCCAGCGGGTCGGCGGCAGGTAATGTAGTGCCGGCCACTCCCTCTGTCTTGAGGCTTTTGTCCGTTTATTAAGATTTCATTATCTTCAAGCAGGAATTATGGCACAAGTAATTGACCCTAACTCTGCAGACAGTGAAAGAAATTATGTAATGAGGGTTTCCGCCTCTCCCGTGGCGACACCCTCACGACTTGGGCTCCCTCTCGGGAGGGGGAGCCGAGAAGCGGGTGTGCGGAGCCTCTACTGCAGTGCGAGCGTGTCTTTCTGGAATTCGAAGGCTCGCTCTCTCGGGAGGGGCAAAGAGTCGTTACGGCCTGGAATGGCACTAGGGTAGAATTATTAATCAAAGACGGATCTTTTATATCTGAAGAATATCCCTCCTTCAGGGTTTCATAGACTGAGTCAGTGGGTCTGATATTCATCAGAATTGTCTCTTCTGAGGAAAGCTGATAAGCATGGACTTGCTGTCCCCCAGGGACATCCCAGCAACTACAAAGCATTGCTTTAGTTTTCACTTCAATTAATGTTGCATTTGGTTTGGCGAATGCGCGCTTTTTCTACCTGTACGTATTTCTTACACTTGTATGTTTCATTTCATGATTAAAGCTATGTTAAATAGAAGGGATTTCGAAGGAGAGGCCCTTTGTTTCCCCTGCTTTGTTTTAATAAACAGAATATTCCCTGCGTGTGAATCCTACTTTCTTTGAATGCAAAGGGTTCTTGTAACTGGAAAGCAATTAATTAGCCTTCATAATAAATGTTCGCTTGGGGGAGATGTTAACTCATTACAGACTCAAAGATGAGTCCAAGGCCTAGAGATCATTCGTCCTAATGTTTGCCACCCTAAAATGCATCTTTAAAAGAATGAAAACACTAAAAACAAAAAGCCATTGTGCTCAAGAATGCTGATGATCTGGCACTTTGGGATTTTATTGATGTTTCCACAGCAGTCGAGCACCAACCAGGCTTTGAAATGTGTACAGTGAGCTAGTAAGAAAACAGTAATTATGCTACTGGGCTTTTCAGTCAGCAAGAGCATGCTTGCTCTGTGTGTTCTAATCATATTAATTATCTATCCAGTTGCCGAGACCCACCACTTGGCATTTGCTGCACATCTCTCCCCGAGCATCCAGGCGGTGTTGCAGTCAGCCTGCAGCGGGAGGACCCGGGTTTTAATCCGTGCAGGGGCGGCATGTGGCGGCCCTTTGTGTAGCTGTAGAGTGATGATGGCCTGGCTGTTTCGTCCTTACCCGTCCTCTCTCAGGAGGGAAGCAGCCAGCTCTAGGCCAGACGACTCCGTTGCTCACAACAGACAGGGTCTTTCTCAGGCTGGCTGATGGTTTGGACACATTCCAGTCTCAGGCGATGGTCATTGGGCGGCACTCGCTTCTTGGGCTGAGGCCTCAACCATTTTTATGGAAGCTCTTTTCTGCCTGACCTTGCTTATCAAGCACTGACTGGAAAATTACAGTCATCACAATTCCGGATTGACAAATTGAGGGTTGGGAGTGGTCATCTAGCTTTCAGCCCAGTAACCAGTCTCACATCTACTCCTCCCGGCATTCCATTCGTTCACGCTCGCGACGGCTCTTCCTCGTAGAGAGCGTGTTGCCCTGACACATCTCGGGACCACTGCGCTGGCGCCGGCGCCGGGTGTTCTCGGTGACCACGTGCGGAGACTGGGGCGGGGCGGCTCCCTGGAGGGAGGCTGTGGAGCAGATTTCCCTCCTGAAATCAGATCAGTGGTGGAGGAGCATCAGAAGTCGGCGCCACTGTTAGGCTTTTAAGAGATTTAGGTCCCTGAGGATGGCCTAAATAGATCCTGGCCCACGGTTCTTGGAATTCTCTTGGATGTGGTTTACCTCAAAAGGCTGTTCATGTTGTTCTATTTCTCATCTTTCACTTTGAGATCAATGTTTATTCTGCGTACAACATGACATCAGCGTTAAGCAATTAGGAAAAAAAATCTAATCATTTTGCCTTCATTTTAAATGGTTCTTGGAGTTCCTCCAGTCTCATTGTGAAAGAGGCAAGAAAAAAAAATAAAAGGGCAATAATCTGATTTCTGTCCATATTTTCAGTGTTTTATGCTTTCCATTAAAGCCTTGCTAATCTCTCGTGTGCCGATCTCTTTTGAACTGCAGGGTCAAAAATTTCCCCCTCCCCCACTTTTTTTTCCTGAGTGGCCTGTCTTGGAAAAGTATAAATAATATTGATCATGGTATTTAATACACTAATGAAACCCGTGGTTATTGACCACATAATTAATATACTGTCTAAAAGTGAAGTTTGGCAGTCCAGTGTATAAAGGTTTATATTGACTTGTGTTTCTTTGGCAATATGCCTTCTAAGGTTTTATTTATAGAAAGTGAAACAGGTTGTCAAGTCTCCTTTCCTTTTCACTTGTTAGAAGGCCACTGCTCCCCTAGTAAATTGAATGTTTCCTTATCTCAGAGGAGTTCTACCCCACCCCCCACCACCATAAAATGTAATTTGTTAGCTCTTAGTCTTATAATCCACTCTTGGTAGAGTTCTGGCTTTTATGAACACTTTTGGAAATAATTAGCTTTTCTCAAAAAGGATAGAATTTAAATGTTTTCATTTGTTGAAAAAACCTCAACTAAGTATATTTGTTACTAAGCTAATGAGTATCGTTAGTGTCTGTTGAGAAGGAAAGGAATAGGGTCTCTTTGGCCCATTGATTATCTCTTATATAAGGAATCCATGTTTGTTGTAGAAAAATAATCCACAGATAAGGAAAAACAAAATTATCCATAATCCCACAAATCAGCAGTAACCACTTGTAGAGCTGAGTTTTCTATGCATACATGCATATAAATGTGGTTTTAATTGAAATAGGATTATACTATTCTGCAACACTGCTCCTAGCACTCCAGGATGGACATCTTTTCTATTTCAATAAAAGTAGATCTGCATAATTTTAATTGGTATTTGGCTATATGGATGTATACATCTATTGAGCCAATTCACTTGCTGGATGTTTATACTCCAACTATTTTTAAATTTTATTTTTCTTAAGATATAATTGGCATATAACATGGTGTTCGCTTTAGAGTTACATATGCTTCCTGATTGTTCTCATAAACCCAGTATCTGATGGGCAGGAACATACATCCTTTGTGGTGCTGTGAAAATGTCTGCTTTCTCTACTTGTGTTAGCTTTTCTGATGGCTTTCTCCGTGCCTTAGTCCGGTGATGCCTCCTCTCACTCTGTGTGCCATCAGAGGCTGGCAAGTGATTTGAGCAGGCCCTGGAATCCTCTGGAGCAATAGCAGGTAGGTGAATGTAGGAAGGAGAGGGGAGGGGAAGGCTGCGGAGCCATCGATGGCCCCGCCCTACCTACCACCGTCGGGGCTGTGGCTCTAAAGCGGCCGAGATCCTCCAGTTCTCTGCTAGCAGGTGTGGCAGGAATGGCCTCTTGAGAACACATTTGACTCACTTTACAAATCAGTATATGCCAATGATTCTTCATTCAAAACTATTAGTTAATGATTATTAGGGCTTTTAATTATATTTGTGATGGCGGCTTTGTTGTTGAGAAGAGTATGGGGCACTTGTCTCCTTTGATTGCCTATTCTGCCCTCCTTGTAAGTGATTTCAAATCAAGACGCCTTGTCCCCAAGAACTGTGGTCTATCTGGAGCAAGGCTTGGGGCTAAGTAGTAATATCCCAAGTCAAGTTAAAATTCAGTAAATGGAGGGGCTCCCAGCTGGCTCAGTCAGTCGGAGAAGCGTGTGACTCTTGATCTCGGGGCTGCAGGTTCGAGCTCCACAGATATTCATTCCTTAAGGAAATAAAACAGTATATCAGTAAACGGAGAGATCCCCGGAGACTGGAGTCTTCAGGAAAGATTTCACAGAGTTGAGTGATTGGAGCCTCACAAATTGTAGCCTTCCTTTCGATCAGGGGCCGTCTGATCTCTATGGAAGAGCACGTGCCGCAGCTGGTAAGGGCCGTGTGTTCCGTGTTGCTGCACGTGAGACTGTGTAGACACCATGAACGGCAGACGACACCAAAGGGAACGGAGTCCCTTCTGCAAATAATGTCTGACCACGCTGGGGGAAGGGGGCTTAACTTACAGCTTCTATTGCCAGATCCCTCACTCTTGCTTGGGCCTGACCTGAGCGTTTGTGACTTGCCAGCAACCTGTGGGTGTGCTCGAGACCTTGAACCTGGCCATTTTTAACAGCCTCTCGGCTTTGCCAGGCCTCTTGATGACCATCCCCTGGCACCCCCTACTTCGGAGCTGTTGATAAATCTCAAAAATGTATAATTTTCAAGAAAACAGTCCTTTTTCCAGCCTTGACTACAGACCACGTGAAAAACTGAGTCCCACCTTGCCTCGTGAGAAATATTAAATCCAGCTCAGAAGTAATCGTGTAAACTTTCCATAATTGTGAGCCGTTCTTACAGACCTGGACCTGCTCCCTGGTGTATTACCCAGTGGGTAATTGGAAGTTTGTGCTGTCATTAAAAGTGACAGCTTCCTCAGATAACATGCTTGGTGCTTGTAAAATGCAGGTAACTCAGCCTATATATAACTTGTGTGTGGTGCCGCTTCCTCGCGGTGGTGAGGTAACCCAGGGGCTGGTGCCCTGGGAAAGCAGGGGAGCTCGCCGCAGGGAGCTGCGGCTTTGTGCTCCTCAATGCCCTGCCCCGAAACGGCGTCAGAACAACCAGGGCTTTTTTAAAAATAAGCCCCAATTGGACTCTCATCTCTCCTCTCACCGGTGACACTGCTGTTGATGTTGAAGTTTATTTATATCTTCAGTCAGCCACGGTGCAGAGGTCATTTCTATTGGCCTAAAATTTTAGAGGCTTATGTGTTTGCCTAGGAAAGCTGATCTCCCCAGCACTCGGGCTTGAAATGCAAGGCCTGTCTTTTGTAGAAGCTTCTCCGTCTCCATAGCACCCCTTCTCCCACCACCACCACCACCACCATTTCCTTCTCCACTATTTTTTAAAAATTTGAATAGCTTTAGAAGGTGCATCCCTGTAAATGAGCTCTCCTCCTGTAATGGGTTCTCTCCAGACAGCAAACCTTGCATAAAGGAGCCACTAATTAAGCAGGAAACGGTTTGTCTTGCTTAGCCACGTTCCGTGAATCCAGCAGTCAATTTAGAAGATAGCAACATCCTTCTTTACAGCTATGATTTTAATAATATTCCTCTGTCTTTCCGCCTGCGGTTGGTGGGGGGGCGGGGGGATTGTCCCTGTCCCTGTCTTGCTCTCCATCTTTAAAAGGAAGATCCCTTTCCGTGGACTTTCCTTTTTATGACAATCCTTATTAAAGTTACTCTTTCAGGATCAAACCCACGCCGAGCCTTCCTGGCTGGAGAGCGGTGCTGTGGGGAAGCGTGTGATTTGCAGTAGAAGCACGCGCGGGCTTTCAGGGAAGATGCCTGTCAGTCAGCTGGGTCTCGGGTGGTGACAGGCTTGAGCAGCTCTCCCCCTGGGTCTGAGGGAGCATGGAGGGTGTGAGCAGGCTTCCCCGGGCCCGGCCCCCCCGTGCCTTCTAACCTTCAGCGCCTGGAGCCAAGTCTCATTTTGCCTGTGTGACTAAATCGCGGGTGGCTAGGAAAAGCAGAGCCCTCTTAATTAGAGAGCCACATTCTTGCGTAGTAGTTGCGTTCCGTTGGTGGTATCATTGTCACGGCAAATTACC